GTCTTCCATTCGTAACACTTGGAGTGGTCTTCACAGGGCTCCGTCGTCGCCGGCTGAGACATCGGATCACACCGTCCCTGAGGGTTCGTACAAACGACGGTCCTCTGGCGAACACCTTGACCACATTCTGACGAACACTGAAAAAAAAAAACATTATTAAAATGATTACGGTTTCTGAAAAAAATCTAAAAGTAACTTTATGTTTTTTTCAAGGCAAATACTTTTGTACAGGGTCTAAGTGGACAAGGGTGTTAGTGGGTAAACCATGACGAACAGTTGGTTTAGGAGTTGTCAGGATCGGTACTAATGCCCTTCGGAAACCTTTGTGAGATCAGAGACACTAATGGTTTTCTCATGACGTCAACCCAGACTGATGTCACCGTACCTTGGACCACTCTGAAGCCTCCCACACCGTCAGGCAGAGCCGTCCCTCGCAGCCCTGCAGGACCGGAGGTTTCCCCCCCTGGCAGTACAGGTCTCTGGTGTTGATGACGGAGCCATTCTGTAGGTGGTAAACACAGACCACCACCCTCTGCTGGAGACCTTTACCACATGTAACAGAACAAGGTCCCCACTCTCCCGTCACCCACCTATGAAAAACACAGCCGGTGATTCTTGTTTCTCTGTAGTCACATGGGTGATGAGTCATCGAGTATCGCTGAAGTAATGCATGTTTGAAGTAACAAAGGCCTCCCTACAGACTTCATTTTCAGACAGAAAGTATAACCATCTGAACATGTGCTAATGAAAACAAGATTTCACCTGGGGGCGCTGCACCCTTCGGAGGAGAAACCAAAAAAAAGAATCAACTGAAATGAACTGTGAACTGGATAAAGTCAAAACTAGTCTTAGTGGAGGGGGGGGGGGATGCACTCCAGACGTGTACTGTAGGGTGGTACTTACCGGTACTGGCAGGGGTGAATGTTGCAGGGTCGTACTTGAGGCTGGGGTCGGTTCTCACGTTGACAGTAGCTGTCGTTCACCATCTCCATAGTTTTATTCACAATCTTCATACAGGAAACCAGCGTCCTACGCTCGCCTGAAAAACAACGATGCTACGATGACAAATACTGAGAACTGATTTAAGTCCAACTCATTTTAAACACTGGATCAAACGCTGGCCAAATAGTCTGTGATGGACGGTCGAGTGATTAATATGAACGCGAATAATGATTAATTGCGATTAATTACAAGCAAAGTTTTCAGTTTGTAATCTTTAAAAAGAGCTGCTACTAAAACAAATATTTTTTCATCCCATACATCAATATTAATGTTATCATTTATCCTGGTCTGTCTGTTCAGCAAGAAGTAAAAACTCTCCTGTTCCCCAGGAGCACTAAAAACTACAGCCCCTCCTCCTGTGTGTCCGGTGTTAATCATTGGAGTTTTCAGGGGGGTGTCAACTGCAAAGAGTAATACCCCTAAGGAAAAGAGTACTGAAAAAAAATTAGGCTAAATGTCACAGAAAAGTAAACACATGTGGTTTGAATATTTGTGAAAGCCGTCTGTTGAAAAAATAAAAGCAGATGACATTTAAAAACATGTTTGATTTCTGTGGCCTGACAAAGTCCAGACGAACACGACATTTAATGAAAGAATGAGCGAGGAAAATACTATTTCTAACGACACCATGTGATGTCGTACATATTTATAGGATGTGTGTCAGTGTGTGTGCTACCTCCTCCACACTGGACTGTGCAGTCCTGCCAGCGGCTGTGTGTCCATATATACAGATACTCCTGTTCCCTGTGCTCCTCATTACTCCTGTCCTGAGATGTGTTCAGTAACACGGTGTATTCATAGTGGAATCCATAGCTTTGGTCATGGAAGAGCAAAACCTGAGGACAAGGAACAGGCGTTACCCTCCTGGTTCAGTAGAAGATTCTCTAGTTTGAAAAATCATTTGAATATTCCCAACCAGTGTTCCATACAAGGTCATCAGGTGGAAAAATGATCAAATCTACTTTGAATATTGTAAAAACTGATGAATAATTACAGCAAATATTTTGTCTTTGTTCATCTATGTGACAGTACCAGGCAGAACAATTCCATTCTCTTCTACTAGATGGCAGCAGATGGCTAAAATTACAAATAAGTGAGGCAGGTCTTGGTGTTTGTCTTACCTCAATTCCTGTTAGTATATCAGTCTTGTGTTCAACTAAACAGGCCCAGGTTTCACACTGGCTCAGTTAGTTGTGATTAAAAATGTCCAACAAAGCGTTTTCACAATTCCACCCATGTGGGTAAAAAAAAAAATGTTGATAGTAGAACTTTATAAAGTAATAAACGTTCCCTTCAAAGATCCACGTAAGCAAAAGGACACTTCATAAATGCACTTGCCCCAGACATGGGCTCCAGATCACCAGTTAAAATGGAAACTTCTGACGAGCCATTACACTCCAGACCTGGGCTCACAGCTCTGCCCAAATCAGCTGTGAGGCCTGTCGCCACAGGCTGGGTGTGTGGGATTATCAGATCAGGATTATCAGATCAGGATTATCAGATCAGGATTACCAGGGTTGATACCTCCACAGCTAACATGTAAAATATTTGACTGTCATTATTCAGTTTCTCTTTATTTTTATCTGCATTAGTTAATATACGCATTAGGATCTAGAGGTAAAATATTTGACTGTCATTATTCAGTTTCTCTTTATTTTTATCTGCATTAGTTAATATACGCATTAGGATCTAGAGCAGGGGTGTTGAACATATAGGGCGCGGGCCAAAACTGGTCCACTAGGGGGTTCAATCTGGCTCGCTTGACGAATTTTAAAAGTGAAAAAATGCACTTTATGTTTACGATGTTTTGACAAATTATATTTCCGAAAAGTGAAAAAATGCACTTCATGTTTACGATGTTTTGACATTATATTTCCATAAGTATGAATATTTTCTAATATACCTGATGATATGATTGTCCTGGTCCGGCCCCATAAATATGAATATTTTGATGATATGATTGTCCTGGTCCGGCCCACTTGACACCTAGTCAGGCTGTATGTGGGTCCTGAACCTGATGAGTTTGACACTAGTTTGTCTAGAGTTTAGTGGCTGATCTCAAACCGTACTCGATCTTAACGTGGTGACTTGCCTAATCTTAGTCCTCATCCCCAAAAACAAACAGTCCAATCACCAACACCAGCTGAAATGTGTCCTTTCAATGAAAATAACAGAGGGGGCGCTGTGTTTACCATGAGGTGTAGAGGGGTCTTAGTTGGTCCCTTGGCAGACATCTTCTCCCACAGCCCCCTTCTTACGTAGCGCACTGTGGTTCCCGCCAGCTCGAACTCTCCTGGAAGCTCAATTTTCCAGTCACTGTTGATGGATCTCTTACTGGAGTCTTTGAGAGCTGTGAGAGAGGGACGTCAGGAGAGACAGGTTCTTACCCTGGATCCACTTCTAACAGACACAGTCAAATCATCCCTGCTCCTTCCAGACACCAATATACGAAGTTCATGTACTGGTAGAAATCTAGTACTCCTGGAGCAGTTGGTGTCGTTCCAGAGATCCCAAAGAGGGTTGAAATTAGCACCAAACTATTGACGACCGCTGGGGGAAAAAAAGGGTTTGAACCTGGAACCAGGAGTTCTAGTCTAATTCTATTCAACACTGGGGCCGCAGCCACACAGCCGTACGTAAGTTTCACTCAGATCAGCGGTTTGTTCCAAATTCCAAATACAAAACACAAGAAGTCTACAACATTCCTGTCCGTTCCACACTTCTTTCCTAGATTATTCCTCTGTTTGACAGTCTTTATCAAAGTCTGTCTGTAAACCTTTCTTTTTTCTTTGCAACAAAAGCAGTAGACATTGGTTTACTGTTGCTCCACCAGATCATTTATCCAAAGCGGCTGTAAACACTAGGATGAAAAAGGGCTCTGGGCCAGAAGGGAAATGGAATCCTCACAACTATAACCATCAAACTCTGAAATGAAAGTCGACATTCTGACAATAATTCCAACACTCTGTTGTGGAAATGGATCACTGGTCATATGATCTGGATGGTTATATCAGAGGTGCTGCAGCTTCACAATGTCTATCTAAAGCATAATTGTCAATAATAGAGTGAGTTTTGGAAAACTGCACGGCACATGCCACGTCCAGCTCACATCCTGGCTGGACATCAACTCCTATCAACTTTTAGTGACAGTCAATTTGGGTCAGAAGAAAAACTTTGCTCAAAGTTTGTTTTTTTTCTGTTCTTTGTGTAGTCTGCTTTACATTACTACGGTCATTGTGAAAGATTTTTTTTAGTAAGATTCAATTTTCACAAAACATCCCAATTCGGGGAACATAATTCTTTTCGAGGGTTTTAAAGAATCTACACTGTCTGGTTTGGCGTATTAAATCATCACTACAGCCACTCTCTGTGGGTTCAGTCAAAGCAACACATTCTCTCTGGAATGGACAGAAAAGTCTGCGTCTTCAGCTACTCCCACAACCACTAAAAGGACAGTTCTGGCAGAATGAAGCCTTTGAAGTGGAATCGGAGGTTTTATGAACCCCAGCCAACTGACTACCTAACCACATGTCCAGAGAAACACACTTGCTGCTGTTAAAGTGCCTGGAGCTGTACTTTCCATTAAGTTCTCTCACGGAGAACTCTGAGTTCAGTCCAAGCCTTAAGTGTATTTGTTGGCCGACCCAATCAAAAAAGTATGTTTCGTGAGGTCCAAGACATGATGGACGCAACGTCCCAAACAAGGGCAAGATAGCGATAAACCAGAATTATGTTCGGTATCAGCCTTGAGTTTCAGATGAGCATCCGAAAGGCTCCAGTGGGGGCAGGAGGAAGTTGGAAATAGCATCTGCGGACAAACATTCTAGTGAAGTCCAGGTCAATAAGAACGCACTAAAACACATGGAAATATTTGTCTGCTTTTTCTATCACTGCAAACACAGGGAACAGAAGACAGGGCTGGTAAATAAAGCTCACAGTCGGACGGACATGAAGGCTCTCTGATGGGCTTGGGTTTCTCTGTCTGGAGGAATCTGTCAAATTTATTGATCTACATCCTGCCTTTCTTCAAAAATAAAAAAAAACTGAATGTGCACCACACGGTGTCACTGTTCAAAGGAGAGACCCACTGTTACTTTGTGAAGTCATCACAGCAGATGCTATTGGTAAATATAGAATAAACCTCCAATCGTTAACCACAGATATAAACATAGTATTTACAAGTGTATTTACATGTATATCCTGTGTTGTTCTACTCTAACACTTTTTAAAATTAAAAATTAGGGATGTCTGATAACGTTATCCAACCGATATTATCGTCCGATAAACACTTTACTAAAAATTAGGGATGTCTGATAATGTTATCCAACCGATATTATCGTCCGATATTAGCATTAGCAAGTGTTTTGACAAAATCAGCATATCAAGATCACTGATTGTCATGTTAAGGCTGATGTGACTGGAGTGGCTTCCTGTGCTCCCAACCTTCTGACATCTAAAATCTTGTCCCAAAGTTCTTCTGTATATGATTTTTATAGTGGCTTTTTGAAATAAAAGAAACTTCAGACAAAAACCTGTGGTTTGAGTTTTGTGCACGTCTGCAGCTACAGTCTCTACAACACATGTAAACGTCGTTACCCAGGAAGCTGTGTGAGGGTTTGTCCTCCACAACTTTGATTCTTCTGGCTCCTGCAGGAATAACTACAGCCTCAATGTAGCCTGACGGGGAGACAAAGACAGGGAGTGAAAACATCTTCAGGAAGAACAGGAGCGGGACGAGCTGCTGATGTCTGGGTTCTGTGACAGAGATGCCAACAATCCCTTACAGTCGGGACGGTTATAGAGTCAGGATTTGAAATTTGAAGTTTAGATATGATGGGACATGATCCAGTGATGATCTTTAAACTCGAACAATCACACGGATGGTGGTTAAACCCTAAGATGTCACACAAAGTACAACATGTGCAACGCCGGTATCTTAAGGGTTGGTGTCAGAACTAGACTCTTGCTAAAGACCTGAAGTCCTGAATATCAATCAATTACTAATAATTTGAACTTTATTGATCCCATATTTGATCAGATCAGACCTGCTGTAACAGACCGCCCACTGACAGGCGTCAAGCATGTGGTTCCTTTAGGAATTGAACCCAAGTAACTCTGCTTTCGAGGCAGGCGTGCTAACCGCTATGCTAAGAACCAACAAAAGACCTAAAGAGCTGAAGACCTGAAGACCAAGGTTTCCATCCAGGATCTACAGAACATCATCTCTGTCACACAACCAGCCCCAGCTCTTCACGTCAAAACCCATCAGGACATTCTTTGTACACAGAGCAGCTCAATGTGACAAACTCCACTTAGTCAGAAAAGTTTACTCTTTTAATTAGGTGGCTTTGGTATTGCCTGGAAAAAGACAGGGTCAGTCAAAATGACCTTCACAGAAGTGATAGTTTATACACAGGGTCGGTCAAAATGACCTTCACAGAAGTGATAGAATAATTTGGCGAAGTGAAAACAGAACATTTTTTAATAAAGGTCAAGGTCAAATCAATCTTTTTTTTTAAAATCAGAGCTGCTGATTGAGCTGCTTTGTTCTGTTAGAAAATACACAGCATTACTGACAGACCAGTGTTGAAGACAGCAGGTTATGACTGTGATACTCACCGACAACACACAGTGACACATTTACGTTACAACGCCAGACACGTTGGTTTCTCACGGTGACTGACAGCCACGAATGGGTGACAATAAACACAGACACACCAACAGCAGGACAGAGTTTGTGTCATTAACACAAAGTTTAAAATGCATCGTTTGACATTTTCATATATATACGCAATATTTCAAATAAAATTCAGATTATCCCACTGTTCTACATCGGAACACTGGCTACGTTTGGTTGGGAGTCCCCCACTGTTTCCTAGAGGCATTTGCATTTTAAGAGTTTGCTGTAATGACACAACATTCTGAGTCCAGAACACGTTCACTTTGACCCATATATCTGGACAGCTCGTATACACAGTGACACGATGAATACACAACAAAAACAAACACCACATGTTTCCAAAAGCAAACCCCCCCCCCTGTACCCCTTCCTCTCACCTCCTCCCACCTCCACCCTCCCTGTACACCGTGGATTTAAGACAGATTGCCGTGGGCTCGCCTGGGGTTTAAAGTGGGACATTTGAGGTTTTAAAGCAACACAATGAACTCCTCCTTGAATATTATGACTTGAAAATTAATTTACAGTATACTGTACATCATAGGATTTTGACAACAGCGCCCCCTGTTCACAGACTTTTTTGACTAGATTTCTTTTGAATCTATGACATTATGTAAGTATTTAATTGTGTTTAATATTCTTATATTAATGTTACATCCAGGTTGAAAACAGCAGGCGGTGCAGCCAGGCTGTTGAACCTATTCAGCAGAGGAAGGGTATCCTGTTCGGGGTGGGATAGGGGGGTGTCCGCCCCACCAGTAAAATCTTCATTGGGACTGGGTTTAAAATCCCATCTAAAACTCCTGAAGTCATTGATAAACTCGGCCGATACAGACCAGGATGACTGGAAAATGTTAACAGTTGTTGGGAAAGAGCTTCAGGTTCTCTACGAATACTTTAAAGAACTGTAAAACGAAACGACCGCAAAGAGAAGTGATGCAGTAAAAGCCTACACCCATCTAGAAGTTGTGCACGCTGCCCGGGTGATGAAGAAACCAAGGGAACATTTCATACGTGATTCAGCCCATGTGGGCCAGAAGTCCATTCAGTCTCTTCACCTGCAAAATCCATTCATTAAATGACATTACCACCAGACGGTGTTTGAGGAGACGATCTGAAATGACCGCAGACACCTGCAGGTGGAGCGCAGGAGTCGTTTTTCATTGTGTTGCTTTAAGGAGCAAATGTTAAAAGTGCAGTGTGTGTCAGACTGCTGGGCCGTGAGTGTAACCAGATGTGGGCTCTGTCTATTGAGTGTGAAGTGAGGCTGTAACTGCAGACAACCGTTTCCTCTCGCTCCACCACTGCTCCACCACTTGGCTGGACCAGCCGGCAGAAGGAAACAGCTTGGATGAAAAGAATGCGTCCGAGGCATTCCTCAAGGCTGGGTTATTGGGTAACGGGGTCAAACAGCTGCTTATGTAACTTTAAGCAGGAGCTGGGATTCAGACTACACCTTCCAGGGGAGCCCACGGCACGCTGCTTCTTCTGGTCTACCTACAGCAACACTCCCGACAGCGTAGAAAAGGCACACACACACAAACACACACAGTGCATGCATCTTACATGAGAAACACTTGGGCACAGTTCTGGGTTTAGCCATCACACAGGTAGATACCCTCTTACACTGCCTAGTGGTGACTGGAGGACAAAACAAGCATGTTGAGGGGAGGTCAGACGTCACATGTCATGCTCACTCTCTCTCTCTCTCTCTGTTTCTCTCACACACACATTCACACACATACTCACACAGTTTTTGTGCGTGTGTGCACACTAAGCAGGTAGACATACATACATAGAATGTTCCTGACATCTCACTCTGAGCTTTCATTTCATAGGCTGGTCCTGTGTTTTTCACTACAAACCATATATGAATTCATTTCAGGATGTGATGCGTGGTTAAATTGGAGGACAATTTTTAATCTGAATTTGTCTAAACTCTAATTTATTTTAATCCTAACTCCAAACTAAATCTCTAACCTCAAAATAGACCCTCAGTCAGTGGGGACCTGCAAAATGTCCCCATGAGACCATGCGTCCCTAAAGCAAAGGTAATATTTACCAAACAAGGTCCCCACAAGTATAGCTACACAAAACACACTCTCACACACTGTCCTGGACATAGACACGACAGGACAGTAGTGTAGTTCTCAAACTATGGTGTGTGTACCACTGAGGTTTACATACCTCACTTACCACCTTGAGCTCCATCTAGTGGTAAGTGGGGGAATCACTTTAAAAAAACAAAAACATTTGCTTGTAATCTAATGTGTTGTAAATGAAACAGATAAAAGTCATTTGTCGACTGTAGAATAAAAACAGAATTTGAACACCATTGCTTTTGGTGTAAACATTTTTTTTAAACATTAACAAGAGCTTCTGTTCTAAAAAAAACCCTAACGACAACGAAAAGTGTTTTTGTTTAAACTAAAATACTTTAACAATTGACATGTTGACAGTTTCTGTCTCTAACACATTTCAACATGAAACCAGTGCAGTGTGTGGTTTTTCCACTCTTCCTCAAAAAGGAACAACAAAGGAATAACTGGAGGACAAAACAAGCATGTTGAGGGGAGGTCAGACGTCACATGTCATGCTCACTCTCTCTCTCTCTCTCTGTTTCTCTCACACACACATTCACACACATACTCACACAGTTTTTGTGCGTGTGTGCACACTAAGCAGGTAGACATACATATATAGAATGTTCCTGACATCTCACCCTGAGCTTTCATTTCATAGGCTGGTCATTACAAACCATATATGAATTCATTTCAGGATGTGACGCGTGGTTAAATTGGAGGACAATTTTTAATCTGAATTTGTCTAAACTCTAATTTATTTTAATCCTAACTCCAAACTAAATCTCAAAACCTCAAAATAGACCCTCAGTCAGTGGGGACCTGCAAAATGTCCCCATGAGACCACGCGTCCCTAAAGCAAAGGTAATATTTACCAAACAAGGTCCCCACAAGTATAGCTACACAAAACACACTCTCACACACTGTCCTGGACATAGACACGACAGGACAATAGTGTAGTTCTCAAACTATGGTGTGTGTACCACTGAGGTTTACATACCTCACTTACCACCTTGAGCTCCATCTAGTGGTAAGTGGGGGAATCACTTTAAAAAAACAAAAACATTTGCTTGTAATCTAATGTGTTGTAAATGAAACAGATAAAAGTCATTTGTCGACTGTAGAATAAAAACAGAATTTGAACACCATTGCTTTTGGTGCAAACATTTTTTTTAAACATTAACAAGAGCTTCTGTTCTAAAAAAAACCCTAACGACAACGAAAAGTGTTTTTGTTTAAACTAAAATACTTTAACAATTGACATGTTGACAGTTTCTGTCTCTAACACATTTCAACATGAAACCAGTGCAGTGTGTGGTTTTTCCACTCTTCCTCAAAAAGGAACAACAAAGGAATAAGTACGAGGGAAAGTCATGAAGTTCTTAGACAGATGTCTTCATTTCAGAAAAGGTCAGATTTCAATCCCTGAAAGTCTTTAAAATCAGAGCAAACACCACATTTTCAACCGAACTGGTGGAAAACGTGTTTAAAAATATTAAAGTTTGCGACAGGTTTTGATCAATTGATGTCTTAGAACTTTTTGACTGCAGCTCTTATCACGTTAGCGTCGATAAGTTCCCGGAGCGGTTCGTGTTTCACATCGACGAACATGCAGTTCATCACTGTAACTGAAACAGACTCTGCTCTTTAAGAACCAACTGGAGGGCAATCCTGAGTGGACAGACAGGTGGCAGTGTAGAGCAGTGTCTCGTCTCCGAGTGGAAAATGACATGAGAAGCACGACCGGATCAGAGCAGCTGAGGATCAAGTGGAAGCAGACGCACACTCACCCATTCCTTTGGTGTGGTTGAAGTCTCCCCTCACGATCTTACAGGAGCGGCCGTCTCCGTTGCAGATTCCGCAGCGATCCTCTTTAGCCGAAGAGCCGATGACGCCGTCACAGCCAATTTTCTGACCGTAACAAAAACAGAAAGAAGAGTGAAATGGAAGGTGGAATGACACCCCTCCCCCACATCACCTCATAGGACGAGAAACAGTTCATTTACTTTATGCCCCCCCATCTTGTGCCACCTGGTAGCCCCCCCCCCCATGGTCTACCTAAGGTGCCCGCAAGGTATGTTCTAAAAATAACTAGTCAAAAACAGGGTCTTTTTGAAAAAAGGTTGGTGACCCCTGCTGTAGACCACTGTTTCCCAAAGACTGGCTCCCCGCCCCCCGGGGGGGGCCCAAAGAAGTGTTTTTACCAGAGTTTTTCCAAGCCAGCCTTGGAAAAACCTGCGCCCTCGGTGACCTGACTACGTGCCTCCTCTTTGTCTGCAGCTCACACTCTGCATCATTTCACTTCCTCCCTTCATGAGGATATTAGTGGTTTCCAAAGGCAGGGGCAGGGGCATGGCTGATAGACAGTCTGTACAGACCGACCTGGGACGACTGGCTTTCTTTTGTGCTTTGGACCAGTGGACTTTTCACACTGGAGCCATCACAGGATCATATGGATATATTATTACACCCCCTCCCCTCCCCTGGTCTGGTGTGTGACTGGATGATATCCAGAGAGCAGTGGCGATAAGCACAGATGAGGATTTCTCTCTGCTGCCGGGGAGTGGAAACGCTAGAAAGCTAAGAGAGGAAAAAAAACTCGTCTCCACTGATCGATGAAATGAAAAACTAACCTTTACAGACATTATTGTCATTGTCAATATTGTCGAGAATCTACCAATGTACAGGGTCAAACAGGGTAAAAGTATAAGGTTAGAAAATGGTGCTTTATCTGAATGAATCACGATTAATTGTTATTATTCAACAGCAACTATGTGATTAAATACACAAAAGTATCTCGTTTGACAGCCCTAATAGATCATTTGGGGTGTTTGTTTTTTTTTAACACTGCTGTAAGGCATCAGCACTAACCACTAATCCACTGTGTCGCCATGTGGACATTTTTCCAGATTAATAATTCCATCACTTGGATTAGTGACAAGTAAAAACAGGTGAGAAACACTGACCTCTAGCTGCTGATATTTGTTGCCTTATGAAATGTTGATTAATCGCCATCAACTATAAACGATGGCAATTTATTAATCGTGATTACGCTACAGTTACTCTGTGAATAATTCAATTTGAAAAATAGTTTGACAGACCTTATATTTTAGCTCTTAAGGAGTTTTTTTTTTAATTGTACAGTGTTTGAGGGATACGGCACATACACAAGTCATAGTTGAAACGAGAGTCGTACTTTCTGAGCACATGTGCGTCACTATAATTACATCCATATTTGCCTTCCTGGGCCAGCCTCTCGCTGGTTCCCTCTCTCCCTCTCTTCCCCTGGTTTGGCCTGGAGGTTGGGGAAATTCCTCCCAAATGTACCAGCACTCAATATTTGCCATTGAACACAAAACACTGACATCAGTCCTTCGAAAGATCCAAACAGACCCCAGCGGTGCCCCCATGAGGAGAGGTGGATAGGTTCAGGACAGAGCCCCTGCAGCCACATCTTCACAGCTGTGCTGTGGGAAGTGTGTTTATTGGTCTGTTTATTTCATGACTAATCTCATTCCTATCAATAATCATTCCGTTACTCATACCAGCAGGTCGTGATTAACGCACGCATGTTACAGCGGAGTCTGTCCATGACCTCACTTTATAACAGCACTAAAACCAATGACCTCTTTTACTGCCGTTGTCCTCATTTGCATCGAGCTTTTTAAGAAAAAACATATTAAAACTGTTTATTTACAAACAAACCAGATACAGACGGAGACCCCACATCACAGCAGCCGACATGAGCGTCCTCCATGCCAACAGATCAGAGACACGATGACAAAACAGAGCCTGGAGTTGCAGCTTCAGACTGGTTATATCCCCAACACTACTCATCGGAACAGGCGATGATAAAGACGGAGGGCGAAAAAAACATGGACTGGAATTGGACAAAAATCATTTCATATACTTAAAGCCAACTCAAGTCTTAAGACTCCAGTATCTGTAGAAAATATTAAATACTGTAGAAAAAGAAGAGTTAAAAACCAGAGTATATGGTAAAAACTAGGGACATCCAATAATAATCGTCCTCCTCCCATAGCTGTAACAAATGAACGATAATCAACAAATAACAAATGAACGATAATCAACAAATAACAAATGAACGATAATCAACAAATAACAAATGAACGATAATCAATAAATAACAAATGAACGATAATCAATAAATAACAAATGAACGATAATCAATAAATAACAAATGAACGATAATCAATAAATAACAAATGAACGATAATCAACAAATAACAAATGAACGATAATCAATAAATAACAAATGAACGATAATCAACAAATAACAAATGAACGATAATCAACAAATAACAAATGAACGATAATCAATCCTCCTGTCACTAGATGGCAGCATTCATTCTTACTTAACTAATTTATTTTGGGGGCTTCTGCACACATGGTTAAAAAACAGGCAACCTTAAACCCTTACCTGACATCTCCCATTAACGCACAGGTCAGCTTCGTACGGTCCACACGGGGTCCCGTCCACTACCCTCTCAGCCATCAGGGCGGGGACATCTCTGCCCACCGGGGTGCAGAACAGGGCACACGGCTTGTCTGTTCAAACACAAAGACAGACTCTGTTATCACACATGTACTGCACCACCTTCATGTGCTCCTCTGCCACTCCTGACTTTCATCTGTGCTACAGTGTGTGTGTGTGTGTGTGTGTGTGTGTGTGTGTGTGTGTGTGTCTCACCATCGTTAATAACAGCAGTCAGGAGGTTTCCCTTCTTCTTGTTGGCGTTTCGGTCGTAGGACAGACACTGTAGGTCCCTGAAGCTGGGAGACCCTTTGGGACAAGGAGGACCCTCACAGGCTTTGTGTTCCACACTGGTCTTTTGACAGTGTCGTCCTCCCGGACCAGGCCTATGGACATGTACACACAGACCAACACACACAGACAAATGTTGAGCAATACTGAGGTGAAAATAACAACTGACAGACAGTTGGACGGACAGTTGGACGGACAGTTGGACGGACAGTTGGACGGACGGAGCGTTGACATACGGTGGATTGTCACATTTCCTCTGTCTGAACTGGACTCCAGTTCCACAGGTTCTGCTGCACATGCTCCACTGGCTCCATGGACTCCAGTCTCCGTCCACGTGCTGCGGGATGGGAGTCTTACTGACACATTCACCTGCTCTGCACCACTGACACACACACACACACACACACACACAAAATACATTAACACTCTGTACAAACCTTAAGTCTCTCCTACTGACACACCTGTCTCTTGGAGGACTACTACAGAAGAATAAAATGTTGGACATTGAATATTTCATTCATCGATTAATCATGATTAATCACAATCAATTATGATCACAACAATTAATGATTAATCGTGATCAATTATGTGATCACTATAATCACAATAATCACGATGGACTGTGATTAACATGATAGATTATGATAGTCAAGTATCAAGTACTCGTGCCCTCGAGTCCTACCTTGTCCGCTCCACATTCTGTTCCATCCAGAGGAGGATCCAGTTTGGTCTTACAGGAGGCATCACCCTCTACCAAACACCACAGACCAGCACACATCAAATGCTAACAGACCAACCACCCACACACAAACAATACACAGACACATGGGAGAGACAATGTGTAGCTCGCATAAACACTAGCATAAACATGATGTCATCCTCATCGTCCTGCGGTTTTATTTCCTTGTTTTCTGTGTTTATGTTGGTTTTTGATCAAAATGAAAATCTTCTGTCTGTCTCCTTTCAACTTGTTGATTAACCGCCATTTTGAAACATATGTTCGCATGTGTTGAACTCCCATAAAAGTTGGTCTTTTTTATGTGGCTCCTACACATAGTTTGAGCTCACATCCGTGGAAACCGGACTGATTCCAGCCAGGAAATAACCCAAAAATTTCTCACTTAATAAAACCTACGTCTGCTAAGGTTCGTGATATCTTAAGAATGCTGCTTGTGGATGTTGGCTGCTGCTGCTCCTTGCACCTAAAGAACCTCGTTCAGTCTGGAAACTGTATTTTATTTCCCACAAGAACAGAGAAGTTTCTGGGCTTCTGCTCTCTCTGGGAAGTTTGTGTCACGCAGGAGAATCGGACTAAACGCTTCAAAAACAATTCTTTATACGATGAAAATACTGAAGACACATTAGTACTTAACACTCACTAAGTACTGCAGTTTTAGGATGCTGTAGACTTCACTTCAGGAGATTTATATGAATAACTTTTTTTTCAGAAATCTAAGACATTTATATTGTAATTACTTTTATAAATTGTATAAATACATATTGACATATATTGACAATACTTGTGCGGTGTTCAAATGCTGGTGGAAAAAACATGTCCTTTAGTACTGCAGTACTCTGTACCTCCATGTCACTGCAGAACGTGGCATTAGTTCCAAACAGGATCTGACACTGTTCGTCCACACTGTAGTGCATGCCTGGCAGTTTGGGAGGCAGTCGGACCTGGTATCGACTCCTGGGGTCGGTGTGGAGCAGACAGGAGCTGCCTTTGGACCTGTACAAGGAAAAACATTGAGAATACTGCAAATCAATACTGCAATACGGTGCTGTGTTCTAGCAGAGGCTGGAGTCTGAGTCAGCATGTTTTATGTAAACATTTGAACATCGTAGAATTTTTCAACTCACTCTAGGATGGACTATTTTCTACCGTCAGCGTTCTGTGAGCAGCGGTATGCAGTGACCAGTGTAGTATTTCTCCCCAAATGTTCGACCAATAGAATCTCTAGTAACTCCATCGTCACAGTAGTCACACATGTAAAAAGAAACGTTTAAAGCGACGACTGTTTTTTTTTTTTTTTTTTTTGTGCGGCCTCACTCGAGAATGGAAGCGTTTGCACATTAAGCCTTTTTTCTCACTCTCACTTTAATGAGTTTAACACCAGCTGGGCGAAGCGGGTCAATCATGTTGTTAGATGAAGTGTGAGCTTCATAATGACTCTGCTCCGAGAGAAAATATGTTTCCAATTTCTGGATGTGGTTTTGGTATCAGTGGTTACAGATCATTTGGCCAAGACAGATAAATCACTGTCAGCCGCTTGTTTAATGTGCCATGGGATCAGCGCTAATAAACCGCCTCTCTAACTGGATGCCACTGCTGTTTGCTCACAAATGAATTATTAAATGAACAAAGAAAACATCTGAGCGGAGATCAATCCGTCAGTCCATTAGTGAAAGTGTCGAGGGCAGGATGGTCGATGTGACGAGCACCGAACATAAATCCTGATTTCATATTCACTCAGAACCGGGCCTGGAAACAAGCCCTCGTAATGTTCCTCAAATGTTTGTAGGGCTCTGAGCTCTCGAGGCCCCACCCATGTCTGACTGGCAGACTCTCAGCTTTTTTTTTCACTCTGAATTTTTCAGTGGAATGGCCAGTGGCCAGATGTTACTCAGGAGCTGGAGTCTGATGTGGAGACGATCGACTTCCAGGATCAATTCAGCGTTCAGAGTTTTGTTGTTTTCCACCAGGGAAACTTCACAGTATAATTGCGTAAAATTGCACGAATCCAAGATAATATATGCAAAGCATTATCAGAATCCAGCCATTATGTATTTATACCGCTTATGCAGTGAGAGGTCCCAGGGGGAGCTGGAGCTGACAGGAGCTGACATGAGTGAGAGGAGGATAAGTTCTGGGCAGGTCGTCAGGTCAAGTACGAACACAAACTGTTTATACTCATTCTTACCAACTGTCAGTTCAGGCATTACATTTAGTTGATAATTCAGGTTTTTAGAGGATGATACATTTAAGAAGGGTTCAGGTTTAAGGGTGGTTCTGTCGGGAGAGACAGACAGACACAGTGAGAGCAGAACAGAAACTCTGCTGTTGACGGTGTAACACTGATGTCAGCCACTGATGGTTGGACAAAGGGCGTCATGTTTGTACCAGGCGGTGATGAATAAGAAAACTAAAAAAAAAGAGCCACAAAGCTGGAGGTGGAGCTGCGTTTTACCTGAGGAAGTTCTCCAGATCATCTCGACTGCAGGAGGACCAGGACAGGTCACTGGGGTTTCTGCCTTTCACCCACTCACCAGACATAATATGTGAGTGTCCTTTGCAGGAGGCGTGGTCGTCGTCGTGGCTCATTCCCATGCTGAGGAGACGGGGACGCAAAGACACAATGTTAAGAGAATTTTATCCACAGCTGTCTCCATGGACCGGTGGCGTCTCTCCATCTCTTTGGTCGCAGCAATCTTCTAACATAAGGCAACACGTACGCGTCAACTCCAGCAGAATCCGACCACAGATCTAGAAAAAGCTGAATGGAACAGTGATCCTTCAAGGGGAAGCTGAGTAAAATAAATCAGTCATTCCGACTAAAACATATCTTCAACTTTGTCCTGGTTGAGTCTGGAAGAAGAATTATTTTGAAATATTGCCGGATGATCTTTAATCGAAGAAAGTAAATGACAACAACGACTGGATTCTAAACAGCTGCGGCCCACTACCACCTCGTTCATTAGTCTGTAGAAACCCTGCTCCAGCCACAGTGACCTTTCCGTTGAGAAAGAATCGACCGTCGTGACACAAGATCAAAACTGATCTGATAAACAATCAAACACAGAGAAGAATGAGACTGAAAAAGACTTGGTGTCTGAGTCGATCCTGAGGGTTGGGGGGGGGGGGGTAGAGCAGGAGGATCTGTCTCACCTCTACAAAGGCTAACAGATAATGTACCTCCTCCATCATCCAACCACAAAATCTATTTGATCAATCTGAAGGTGGGACAACAGCTCTGAGGCCGTTCTCCTCACAGCTGTGTTTGATTTCACTGCCCCGTCAGGATCTGCCCCAACAGGATCTGCCCCAACAGGATCTGCCCCAACAGGACCTGCCCCGTCAGGACCTGCCCCGTCAGGATCTGCCCCCGGTGGAGTTCAGAATCTTAAACTCCTTGATAACAAAAAAAAAGTTCCATCCTGTGTGAATGTAATGATAGAACAATGTTGTCCACTGACAAATCGTTTGACCTTTGACCTCCTCCTGTAATCGTTCCACAGAGACAAGGAAAGTCTCCTTCACCCCAGAGAAGAAAGCAGGTTCGTGTTGGTTTGGAGACCCTCGGAGAATCACTGTTTGTTGTCAGAACAAACAGTTCTGAGGGAAAGTGTTTGTGGACCGAAGGCCGAGAAAACTTCACAAGTGTTCAAATTACAGTAGAATGTAAACACGCGGCTCTTATTATTGTTGCAGAGAAACTTTCAAACCTAAAACAACATTCTGTTCAGCTTCTTTGTCCGAAAACACTAAACAAACACAGAGTTCCCAGAGTTCTTTAAGGCAGAAGAACTCGGACCTAAAGAAATGATGGTTTCGATGGTGAACCTGTTGAATCTGACACAACGTTCTCCTTTAATTTTTATGTCAAATAGCAGCTGTAAAACTGTTCCATAGAACTTACTTGTGACCCAGCTCATGAGCAATGGTGAAGGCCAGGTTGAGTCCATTGTCTTCCGCCAACACACACTTCCTCTTGGGACTGCACACACCACCCAGATATGCAATACCTGCAACACAGGAACATCACCGTTTTCTCTTCCAGTTTTTGAAGAACCAGAAGAAAATAGTGAAGGTTGTTCCACAAATCTTCTGTGGACGTGAGCCGGTTCAAACTGGTTCTTGATGTAAATCAAACATCGGGGCTCTGTGAGGTGGACGGCACTGTTTACGACCCCCTTGTTATTCTTTGAAGTATTTCACTTGACACTTGGGTCCAATCAGAAGCTTCACCGCTGGTACTGCACTGATGAAGGATCTGCTTGTACTTCTGAACAGTGTTGACACAATGAACCCTTCTTTTTCAGGACTCTGTAAATCCCCTGAGTGAAATACTTTCTGTACGTCAACCATTAATTCAAATCTTATAAATAATCCCAGACACGGTGATATCATTATAAGAATGGTTTTTCAGAATTGTTTTTTCTTCTGACAGTGAAAAGCCAACAGCACAATGCCTTGGTTTCGCGAAATTTGCTGGAATTGCTCGTAGGGGTAAACGTCAATATCGGCAAGAAGTTAACATTGGACATCCCTAGTTATCGTTGATGTTTTTCTTGCTTCTTGCGTTAGTTATGCTGTTATTGTGGCTCCATGAGTTAGCTGTGATCATGAGTCGTCATACTACATTTCTGCACAAGACTGATGTTTTTTATTGACATTATGAAGTTATTAGGATATGGATGAAGGCCTAGGAGAGGAACACACGGTACGCCAGTGTCATAAAGTCTGGTTAAATGGTGGTTTTGGGGAGAACCCTGGTTGTAGGAGAACAACAGTCTACTCGTAAAACAGGATTAAAAACCGTTATTGACGAGACTTTAATCCAGAATTTCTCTGAAGGGAAAGTTATGTCTGTGTGTGTCTGTGTGTGTGTGTGTGTGTGTGTGTGTGTGTGTGTGTGCAATCACACACTCACTCCCTGGACACTTGGCTTGTGGTCCTCCACGTGAACTGGGCCACAGTAAGTCATTTCACTGCAGCTGGACATAAATTAAATCACTGATGATAATGTAACAATTTGACCAAGATGAGATTTTAAAGAGAAACAGAGAAAAAAAAAAACAAGATAAAGAAAAGTAGAACTCCAGGGAGGGACGGTGCCGTTCAAGTTTGGACTTTTTCAGGCCACATGGCAAGCACACGCATTACTTCACCGACCCATAAAGTAAATGAGGTTTTGAGGATTACTGTCCGTGTGATAAGACAGAGACGTTCTGAAGGAACACAGAACAGCTGGAGGCGTTCAAAGTTATGTCGGCCCATTAGAGAGAGCGGACGTTTAAACTCCAAGATTGATATGAAGCACGGTGTTCTGTCAGTGCTGACGGTGATGTCCGTTCTACTGCTCAGGTCTGCCAGCAGGAAAATATAAAAAACAGGTTCTGGCTCAGCTGCAAAAAGGAAAAAAAAATGTACAGAACATCTGCTAAGGTTTGTGATATCTTCATATTTTGTTTGCTGCTTCATCTTATCCAACACTGTATCGAAATGATGCCTCGCTTGGTAAGAGTTAAGTCAGGGTTAAGTCAGAATTAAGTCAGAGTTAAGTTAGGGTTAAGTCAGAGTTAAGTCAGAGTTAAGTCTTCTCTGGTGTCAGAGGAACTCAGCAGGTGTGAGGTTTACAGAAAATAATAATTTATTCCGGGTCTTTTTACTCAGTCGGATTTTTCGTTGAGATACAATTTTTTTATTATTGTGTTGTGTTTAAATCATGGTTTGACCTCTGCATTTTACACATCACCACAGTCAGCAGGGGGCAGGTTATTGTGTTTAAATCATGGTTTGTGTTTGACCTCTGCATTAACTTACCCATCACCAGCTTAAGCTGGCCGGGGAGCAGTATGTGGAGATGGTACCATGTTCAGAGCACCTCAGTGGTGACTTGGCAGCTGGTGGACTCAAACCTGAAACCTTCCAGACCCAAGTCCGCCTCCTTAACCACCACGCCACCACTGGTGGTGTTCCCTGTTTTGGTCAGCCCAGGTGTTGCTCCATTTCGCTGATGTGTTTTATACATTAACATCCCAGATATATATGACTGTGTTAATTAAACAGCTCCCCCTGCAGTCGACAGTTCCTCCATCAACAAGGACTCTTCAACCATCTGGACATTGTTTAAACATCAACATCCCAGCGCCCACCAAAACTCTCAGTTACACCCTGCTCCAGTTAAGCAAACACAGGAAATAGGCTACAACTCCAAATATTAGCCCAGTCCCAGGCAGGCGTTACCCCTGACCCAGGCTGTGTGAGGTGAAGGTTCCAGACGTTCACCAACAAAGAGATCAGAGCTCAGATCAGAGTCAAGTCTTTGTCAACGAGTCTTCCATCAGACAGTCTGTGTCAGTCTGTGTCAGTCTGTGTCAGTCTGTGTCAGTGACGTCAAGAAACCTTCGACCAACCAGACTGGGCCTGCACGATACGAACAAAATGCGCGAGGTGCCATGACACTAATTCGATATTGCGATGACGATACGACTTCAAGAACCTCAGTCTGTGAAATGTCTCCTCGCTTCAATCCAAAGTGTCGCCAAACTGCAGAGATGCTACTTCTTTTTGCTACAAGAGTTTCCTCTCCGGCCTCCACTTCTTTACTCCTCTGTCTACAAGAAAGTAGCGGGTCTGGCCGTCACCTGATTGGTTAAATGGCCGTCATCTGATTGGCTAAACTGTATGCATGCATAGTCTTTGAGTCAAGGACTGCATCTGATTGGCCGAATGTCAGCTTGCGGGATGTGAAGGCCTGACAAGTGAGTGAAACTGATTGTATTTCAGACCAGCTTTTGTGATGTGTTTATCGCGCACATTCACATCACGACGACAATGAAAATAAGATTGTTTGATTGATTGATTGATTGTATTTCAGACCAGCTTTTGCGATGTGTTTGTCACGCACGTTCACATCACGACGACAATGAAAATAAGATTCACGGTGCAGGGTTACTGTAGACCGGCATAGTGGTTGGTAGATGAGAATAAAGTTCATCTTTGTGTCTCATGTAAACTGTGTATCAGCTTCTTAGCTACAATGTGAAAGGAGAGTCTTCTTTTTTTCATTACACACTAAAAAAAAATTCACCAACTTATTTCATCATCATCACCGTCGTAGTCATCGTCATCATCACCGTCATCATCTCCTCACTTGACACTGACATTATTCCAGTTCCCAATCAAGAAGAATATTCCATTTCACGTATTGAAGATTAAGAGGAGAGAGGAGTAATCACATGAGAACCGGTCTTGGAAACCTTTAACCACTGGAGCTGCAGCTGATTTGACTGATTACAAAATAACTGCATGATGTCACAGGAGTTCTGTGTGCGATGCCTTTCTGTATTTCCCTGTCCCTGGTGAGGCCCGCACCAAACGCTCTGATTAGCTGACGAGTCACGACGACGAGTCACGACGACGAGTCACGCTGACGTGCGATTAAAGTCGTCTGCATAAATTAATAAACACGATAGAATCCCATTAACTTGCCTGGACCTGGTTCTTCTGCTCTGCCCCTAGTGGTGAAACTCCGTGGACCTGTGTTTGATTTTAGTCTCTCAGCAATAACATGTCGTCATCAGCAGGTTCAATCATCATCGACCGGGTCGCTGCGTGTCTGTCATCGACAGTGTGACATGTACGACTAAAAAGAGCGCCCTCTGCACCTGACGTTTGCTGAACGCAAAAGCCCTGGGTCCTCAGCTAGCTCCTGTCAGTGCTAGAAGACTTCAAGTCCCATTTGAGGGCAGTCTTGGTTGTAACTGAAGAGGGCGCCAAACACGATAAGGGCCTCTGTGTCACTGTGCAGTAAAAACAGCCACATGGTGGGATGTTGGACCTGTCAACTGAACAAGTGCGTTCCAAAACAGCTGAATTCAAATCCTGCCATTTCTGAGCAGGGATGATACGTAGACCGTGGCCAGCGACCAATTATTACCAAATTAGTAATAATATATTGATCTAAACCAGCAAATTAATTAAGATAATAAACATTATGGGTTCAAACCCAAACCCAGCCACACACACAGTCAGCAACATCTGCCAAAGGCCGCGATTACGAAAGAAATTATTTTAACAACGTGTGGATGAAATCCAGTAACGAACTATTTTTTTTGTATAAATCATGTCAGTTTTTATTATATAGTGAGGAAGCAACGACCCCAGAGAGGGTATGTTTAAAACGCTCACTCAACCCAATCTCTGTGTGCTTAGTGGAGGAGCTTTTTATTTTTCATTTAGAACAGATCAACAATTGTGGTTTCTTGGAATCTTCTCCGGTTCTGTCTCAAGGCCACGTTTGTGTGTTTCCAGGCGTCCTCTGACTCGTAGCCTGAGACTGCCTGGAGTGAAGGAGCAGGGAGTGGAGGTGAACGTGGGTGGTAGGGCTATTGAAGCAGGACCTTTAATGAGAACTGTGATTATAGTCAGGCTCAAAGTGGGTCACACACTTAGGGCCTGCAGCACAAAGAGCAGGAGTGTTCTCATTGTGCAGGGAGATTAGCAGGCGG